TTCCAGGACAGGCTCCAAAGCTACACAGGGAAACCCTGTCTCAAAACAAAACAAAACAAAACAATTTAAAAGATGTACGTTTTCATGCCACTGGACTATTTGTTAGCCTGTGGAATAGGAACATTGTTGTCTGATTATATGGAAATTACATTTGAACACTTTTCAAAAAATATATATATATATGTGTGTGTGTGTGTGTGTGTGTGTGTGTGTGTGTGTGTGTATATATATGGTTGCTTCTACAGTCATGTTTCCATATGACTTCTTTGAAAGTATTTTTTATTATTAATCACTTCCTGAATTCCTTCTTCTACCCTGCCCTCCTAACCCTGAATCAATCCTTCTTCTTCCATTACTCCCATTTAACCATTTATTCAATATGTTGGCTTTTCTATGTATTGAATCATATTATCTGCAAAATGAGATAATTTTACTTATTCCTTTCCATTGTGTGTGATTTTTATTCTTTCCCCTTTACAATTTCTGTAAGATTTAGAGTCCCAAGTTTTCCAGTATAATACTGCATACAATCATTAAAAGTAGACATCTGAATGTTATGTCTGATATGCTTTCTGCTTTTCCCTACTTAATGTGATGTATATGTGTGTACATGTATGTGTGCCTCCTTTATTATTCTGAGGTGTGCTTCCTCTATACCGAATTTATTCTCTACTTAAGTTTTAAAATACTTTAAGTTTCATAATGATGAAATATTGAGTTTTATCTAAAACTTTGAAACTACTAGAAAGGGAAACACTTTGAAATGCTAATATATAGGCATAGAATTTTTTCTTTTTGTAAGAGCCAAAAAGCACAAAAAAACCAAACAAAAGCTAAAAGAAACCAAGCCAATCTCATACATATGGGATTATAGCAAATTATGTCTTGACCAGCAAAGGAGACAACCAAGAGAGTAAATGGGAAGAATGCCTGCCAGCTAGTCATTCACTTGTGCAAGGATTAATATCCAGAGTATATAAGAATCATCATCAACAACAAAACAAACAACAAAACCCAAACAACAACAAAATTAAAAAGAAATAATTCATCTTAAAATGGGGAAATAGGTTATGGAAGATAGCTTAGTAGTTTTACTGTGAAAATTAACAACCATGAGGACAGGGATTTGGATTCCCAGACTCTAAGGCAAAGACAGAATCCTTGGAGCATGGTGACTAGCCATAGAAGCCATATTGAGGAGCCATGTGTTCAGCTGAGATGCCCTGCCATAAGGAATAAGGTGGAAAGTAATCAAGGTAGATACTTGCTATCAGCCTCAGGCGTCTATACACATGTGCACACATTTACACATGTACCCCTACACCTGTACACGCACACACACAAACCTGCATAGAATAGAAACATGCACACTTCACACTACATACATATTACAATTGAAATTGAGGAAGTGATCCAAACAAACATTTTTCAAAAGAAGAAATTTAATTACATTAAATACTGCACAGCACTCTTAGCCATGAGGGAAAGAGCTGTCAAATTAATGATGAGATACCATTTCACCAAAAGCAGAACGGCCATTTCTTTTGATAAAAGAAAACACAAAATGTATTGGCAAAGATGTGAGGATGTAAAGGAAACGGGAAAGTTTTCTCATTATAGCTACAAATGAAAATGAGGATAGCCATTATGGAAAAACAGTAAGTGGGCTCTTGGGAAAAATGAAAATGGACCAGCTACCCCACTAGTGGACATACACAGAAATCAGCACTGTTTTCCAGTGCTCACTGTAACAATATTAACAATAGCTGACCAAACCGGCTGCAATATTTGAAGGAATGTTGTATCTATACATGATGGATATAATTTAGACATGGAGAGAAATAAAATCCTATCCTTTGCAGTAAAGTCAATGGATCTGGAAGACATTGAACAAAATAAGTGAGACAGAAAAAAAAAAAAACATGTTCTTTCACACACAAAATCTTAAAAAGTTGATCTGACAATAGAACAGTAATTACTTGATGTTTGTGGCAGTGTGAGTGTTTGTGTGGGGGGGGTTGATAGAGGGTGACTGGAAACTGGGTCCCGAAACACAGATAGAATTAATATCAATATTCTATACTACAATGGAGTAACTACAGCTCATAATAATCCATTCCTTAATAATAACCAGAAGAAATTGAATGTTCCAGATATCCAATCATGATAAAGAATTGGGAATGCTTGCATGAGGTACAGTGTTGGCCACCTCTGGAGCACAGCTTCTGTGTGCTGACTCAGGAAGCATTTCCCAGAGATTTCACCTCAAACAATCTGGTTTCTTCTGAATCACAGATAATTCTTCAGCCCCAGATGACCAGCATCAGTTGTTCCAGTTAAACCAAGGTTTCACTTTAATGGTTCTATTTCTTATTAATCACAGTTGATTCTTCAGCTCCAGCTGATCAGACACAACAGATTCTTCATACAAATCTGGTAAAGTCTTTGTTTCTTTCTGAAACTTCATGAGCTAGGCCACCTTTGTCTGCTTTTCTCTCAACACTTACCTTCCAAGCTGCTGCAGAACAACCCATTGAGCCCTCAACACTCAATGATGTTTTTCTAGGCAAAAGTTCCAAAGTCCTTCTGCAATCCTCCCTAAAAAAAAAAATGGTCAGGTCTGTCATAGCAATACCCCATTATCCTGGTACCAATTTCTGTCTTGGTTAAGGTTTCTATGGCTGTGATAAAACACCATGATCAAAAGCAAGTTGGAGAAGCAAGGGTTTATTTGGCTTACACTTCTACATTGCTATTCATCATTGAAGGAAGTCAGGACAGGAACTCAACAGGGCAGGAACCTAGAGGCAGGAACTGATGCAGAG